CCTTTCCATAGTGCTCCGGTGCCCCAGGGATCATGTCGCGTCATCCCCAAAAATCGTTTCCAAGGCTGCTGAGGACAGTGCTCACCAGTGGTGCCCGAATAGTGGCACAAGAGTCTTTGGAAGCTCTTGAGAATGGAATGTAGCTAAATGCGCTGTGGGTTCACGTTGCATGAGCCATAGAGAATTGGTGAAGCATGTGCATTTGGGGAAGACTTCAATGGGGAGTGTCTTAGCATCTTTTCCCCCAAATGCAGCCTTGGCTGTAGACAGTGTATGGGGTGGTGATCCCTGGAAGCAGAAGCGAGGGGGTGAGGAGGGGAGGTGGGGAGGGAAGAGAGCCAAGGGTGTCTTGTTGGGCTCACTGCTCTAGTCAGCGGAGGCTCGGGTCTTCCAGAATCTTGAAGCTTCAGAATGGCTCCCAGAATTGCCCACCCAAGTCAGGGGCCCAGAGTGGTCAGGTGCTGGCTCCCATCCCTCATTGGTTGAGGGTTGCCTTCCACCATATTGAACCGTCTTCACTTCCGGGCTGCAGGGGCTCAGCTAGGATGCCAAAGGACACCCTGAGCAGCAGAGGCGGGGTGCTGGAGGACTCCCTGAGCAGCAGAGGCGGGGTGCTGGAGGACTCCCTGAGCAGCAGAGGCGGGGTGCTGGGGGACACCCTGAGCAGCAGAGGGGGGGTGCTGGAGGACACCCTGAGCAGCAGAGGCGGGGTGCTGGAGGACTCCCTGAGTCGGGTGTGGGCCAAGGGGCACAGTGAGAGCCCCACTGGCATTACACTAAGGGAACCAGGACCTGCAAAAGCACATACTGGTCTCTGGTGTCCGTCCCAGGGGGAGGAAGGTGCGCAGTGTCCCATCGCCCACTGTCTTCCTCAGAGTTTTCTTTTGCTGCCCTGTATTGCTCGTTCCTCCGTCCTGTTTCCTCCCTGCTGCCTCCTTTCCACAGCCAAGCTCCTCAGATCGAGGCTCCATCTCCCTGTGAGGGGCTTAGAATTCAGAGGTGCGTAGGTGGCCTCATCTGAGTTCCCAGGTGGTGCAGACTCTTCCCCACAGCGTGACAAATGGTAGCTGAAGCTTCCTTGAAAACTGTCATCGGAAATGCATCACCACAAACCACCCTTTCCTTGTTGGATGGCCCTGACTGCTGGGACTTTCTCTCTTCTGCTGACACCCGTTGCTGACTTGTACCCACTGGTTCTAGCTTGGCTGTTTGGAGCCCAGAAGTGCGGGTCTTCGTTGTCACCTGGGGCAGGCCCTTCCTCTGCCATAGACCTTTGTTAGGTTTGTCAAATAAGGAGACAGAGGGTCACAGCACAGTGAGGCGTCTGAATAGAAAATTGCAAAGCAGTATGGGAAGTCCCGCCATGGCTGTGGTGGTATGTGGGCTGTGTGTGTGCACATGTGTGTAAATTTGTGTGCCTTTTAGTTTGTCATTTGGACAAGCAGGGGGTGTGGAGTTGAGGGTGTTGCGTGTTACCTGTGTTCAAGGTCTAGAGGCGTATTTGGTCAACTTGTCCCCCAGAATTGTTGGAGCCCCAAGGGGTGAGAAGTAAGTACTCATGGATGTGTATTTGAGAGTCATGGCCTTGAGGGTTCAGGGGTCGTGGGAGAGAGGATTTATGGCAAATCCCTGAGTGCTTTGTCTCTCACTTTCTCCTAGTGCAGACAGGGAGGGAAGCTTGAAAGGGGGCAGTGACAGGGACAGATTCGAATTTTGGGGCAATTCACTCTAGGATCAGGAAGGAGATGGTTTGCAGACCTGTCAGTCAAGATGACTTTTAGCAGAGGCACCAGCCGAAGGTGTTTGAGGATGAGGATGGATGCTCATTTGGGTTCGCTGAGGTGTTGGAGGCCAGTGGTTCCAGGGTGGGCTCGGCCGCCATCAGGGTCCCAGGGGCCGTGTTTCCTTCTGAGACCCTCAAGGCCTTGCGCCGTCTTTTGCTCGCTCTCTTGTAGTTCCTGGGTGTTTGCCTCCGTTCCAGGCGGTGCACGTGGCAGTGCCTGGCTAAGAAGAGGGGCGTTTCTTTCTTCTTAGGGAAGAAAGCTGCTCCCAGAAGCCCCCTGGCAGCTTCCCCCCAGACCCCCTTCGGCCCCCTGAGGTCCTGTAGCCCCAGTGGCCTGGTGGCTGCGCAGCGGGAGGGGCTCTGCCCTGGGCACCGGGGATGGGTCTGGTGGCCGGAGCAAGGGCACTGATGGGGGAGGTGAGATTCTCACCCTCTCCCCTCCCACCCCCGGGCTAATGCAGGCTCTTCCGAATTCTTATGTGTTCCATCCACCATCCACGTACTGCTCAGCTCTGCGGTGTGTTCTAACATTTGATGCCCACAGCAGAGTCAAGTTCTAGTTTATCCAGGGCACAGCCAGGAGCTCCCTTCTGATCATGCAGGCCAACCCTGTGCGCCCACTTCTGGTTTTTTTAGTTGATTCATGCCATTAACCCGGGTTCAGCTTGCGGCAGGCTCAGATTCTCAGGGCGCTGCCATTGTATGTGAACACATCTGCCCTGCTGCGTCACCCGCGTATTGAATTCTCTCCCTTGGTGAGTTCTTTCATAAAGTGAAGCGTCATCTTAAATGCAAACTGTCCCTTGATAAGTTCCTGCTTCTTCATAGCATCCAATATATTCTACTGTGGCTCATGCACGCATGTCACCCGGTGTGCAGGCCCCATAAAGAACTCTGTGTCAGGCAACTTTAGGCTTTTTGAAATGTTTGTAACACAGCCACTAAAAAATGATCTAAAAAAATTCCCGTCAGGCCTGATGCAGATCAGATGTCACAGGATGTAAGCCCTGGCAGTGACTTTGCAGGTCACTCAGTTTGCCGTTTCTTCAGCACCACAGGGGTCGTCATGCTCTTCAAGAGATGGACCTACATGATGGTCCTTGCCTTCCCCGCTTCAGCCTTGGAGAGTAATGTGCAGTCTGCGTGATTCACGATCTCATCTGCTGGTTTTTCTTTTTAATTCAGTGTTAACATGCTTAGTACTAACACTAGTTATGTGACTAAGGACTCGCTCCAGTCCATTAAATTCCCTGTGACTGTTTCCTCCAGGTCTAAACATGGTCCAAGTACTTGGATTATGGGGACAAACATTAGTGTTTGTGTTGATCAGTCTGCCCCATTAGGCACGTTCTTTCCTGGCCTCATCTTGGGAGCACCTTCCTCCCCCCAGCAGGCTTCCCGAAGAATTTGTGTCTCCCTGTTTTGTCTTGGCCCGTTGGCTGGCACATTTATGTGCGGGTCTGGCTGTTGGCTGACCTGCATCGTGGGAAGCATGGTCGTACTGAGCTGTCTCAGGCCGTCTCCCCCTTCGGTCTCTCCCATTTTCTCCAGCTTCTACCTTATCGCTGCCTAATTCCCATCCCACCTGCGTGACGCCCCCACCACCCACCCCGTGCCGCTGCTTTCCGAGCCCCTACTGTCCATCCACCTGTGTGTCTGTCTGCAGCCCTGCACAGACAGCCCCTCCCCAACCGCCACATCTTTGCTGAAGGGCTCTGTCCCTTCCACTTGTCATGATGTTCCCAAGAAGGGATTCTCTGGCAGGTTAGTTCAGGTCTGTGTGTGATTCTACGACCAAAAACTCCTTTCCCCTTCCTTCCCTGTACTTCCCTGTACTCTGGAATCCAGAACAGCATGCATCCAAGAGATGCGCCCCCTATTTTATTCCTCACTTTGGTGCTGAAGTCTTTCTTCCCCCTCAGGCTACTGCCAAGTGTAGCCGTGCGATGTTAGCCGCCTTCCTTCTGTGGCTGACATCTGTATTCTTCAGTGGGTTTATGTGTTTTTTGAACCCACCCACTTCATCCTCTCCAGTGGTGGCAGCACAGACACAGGTAAGCCCTTCTCCCACATAAAATGTGGCTCCTTGTTGCCTTCCTTGGCGGCGGGGGGGTGCTGTGGGCCAAACGTGGCCGTGGACATGTTTCACTTGACTTTCCCATTCATCATTTTAAGAATTTTTAGATTAGGGCCGACCTTGAAACATCTGAAGATTTCAGGTAAAAAAATCAGAATTTCCGGTCTCCCTTTGGACAGTCCCAAAATTTGATGACTTTGTCCTAAGACCTGACAGGGTGGCCCTGGCTGGAGCTGGGCCTGTGCTCTGTCACCCGTGTCCTGCTTGGCGGCTTCCCTCCCTCACCGCTAGACTGGCGTCCGGGGTCGCTGGCATTTTCCGCCCTGCTCTCATGGATGGAGGGCCCAGACCTCTCGGGGGCCTTCGGGCCCCTCTGGAATCCTAGCTTTCCCTCCCTCCACTGGTTTATTTCCACCTCCCTGCTTCTCCATGAAGTTGTAGCCACACAGCACTCTAAGCTGATGGTTTCCTCCTTGTCTTTGCTATCTTTTCTTGCAGTGGGGTGTCGCCATTTGTTTCGACGCCCACACCATCGCTTCACAGACGCTGTGTTCACAGTTCATGGAAGGATCGCCTCCCCAGAAAGCCTTTTCTGACTTCTCGAGAGGATTCTACCCTCCCTTCTCATTTCACGTGGTGCGCAGATGACTGCCCTTGTCTGCACCTTTTCGCGCCCCCTCACCCCTGCCCCGTCTCTCTCAGATTGCAGGGCATTTAAGGGCAGGGTCTGCTCTGTGCCTTACCGGTCTTGATGTCCCCTGCAGAAGGCACCTTGTAATTGTAGCTTGGGTGATTTCCTCCTAGGTGTAAATCTTGAGACCGTATCTTCCTTAATGACTCTGAAGCCAGGTAAGCTCGTGAAAACAAGGGGAGGGGTCATGCCTGCTTTATCAACACCATACCCCCGGTGCCTCGATGGTGGCTTATGGCAGGAGTGCCATATTTACTGCATTAGATGAGACTGGAGAAACAAGGATGATGCCTGAAGTGACAGAGAGGCCTGCGTAGCAATGAGGACCCATGTGGATATATCACACACATATTTCTTTTATGGTTGCATAAAAAAGTTATGGGCGCTCTCCAATTCTATCACAGGTATAAAAGGATATTTTATACATCTTAGTATTATTTGACCTTCAGGTGATGAATCTGACCTTGAACTGGAAAGAAAGTATAAGGAAGATGATCGAGAAAAGACCCCAAGGAGGCCGCGGACACAAAGGACAGAGAAAGTCCAGAAGATCTCCTCGGGAAAGGAGGCCGGGCAGGTTTCCGGAGCGAAGAAACCCATCATCAGTGTGGTTTTAACAGCACACGAAGCTATTCCAGGTGGGCAGCAGTGGGAAGGGGCCACAGAAGAATGTGCGGGCGAATCTGTGCCAGGCAGCCTGACCGCGTGGACCCTGGGGCTCCAGCACGGTCAGAGGAGCTCGTTTCTTTCCTCACTCCCCTGGCCCAGCCCTGTCCCGGGTGTGTCCCTGCTCACCACGCGGAGCAGTGTGTCCCTTGTGGGAGACAGACCTGCTGAGACCAGACGCCCGCAGCCTGCTGCCCAGGGCCCCTGCTCTCCCATTCCATCCGCGCAACTTCGTCCTGCATCTTTAGCGGCTCCTTCAGATATTTTATGACACTGGAGATTTCCATCTCCATTTCCTTCCACATCAAATACCCTGTGGAGATATTATACTACCTCTTTTTAAAAAAGGCCCCTTTCAGGAAGGGAGACTTTAGACAAAAAGCAGTGTGGTAGGATAGTAGGTTCCAAAGTAGAATAGTGGTTTTTTCACTATCCATTTGGGGGGATCGTTTTCAAATATATTTAAAAATCAAGTGTAGGATTTTAAGGGCAGCTATAGCTATTTAAGCATTTTTTTCCCAAATAAGCAGTAACTCTTTATTTAAAGTGAAAATGCCGGCAAAGTGCCTCTTTATACTTCAGTGTAGAGTGTAATGATCAGAGGAAATAAGGCACATAAAAACACTGGGCAAGAGGAACCTTCTGGAAAGTCACTTCAACTGCACCAGCCTGCTTCAGAGGGGTGTGAGCCCGGGTGGCTCCTGTTCTCAGTCGTGTCTAGAGGAAGTTCCCACACTAATGTCTTCACACATGGTGCTAGGGCTTTCATGACTTCTGCAAGTGAAATTGTCAATGGGGTAAAATTGTGATCGCTCTTTGCTGTTCTAGAACCAGGGGATAGATTGGAACCCTTTCTTTAACTTCACTGGGTGTGCACCTGTCCACATAGATGTAACGTGTCCACTGCTGTGCAAGGTCTTTGAGTGTTTCACACCCTAGAATTGTACAAGCAAAGGGGCCTTTGAGGTTTTCCACTCCAGACCCCGTCCTTTGCTAGGGTGGAAACGGACGCCCACTGATGCCGAGGTCATGTCATGTTTGGGACTGGACCCTTGGCAGCTCTGATTCCCACCCACAGCTGATGCCAGCACCCCATGTTGTCTTGGTGACTTTACACTTCCTCAGAGTTTGCCACAGGTGGTCGTGTGTGAGCTGGTGGGTAAACACGCATGCATGTATGTGCTTGTCTTAAGTTTTTGTCTCTTTATAGATCAAAGGGAATTACCTCAGAAGGATGTTTTGATAGATTATTAGAAAACTTGCCCTTCCCACCCACCAGCACACTCACACACACTCACAGGCATACACACATGCACACGCACACACACACACACATGCACACCTGTTACATGTGTGAACTGCAGGAAAACCAGTACCTTCACCGTATACAGTGAAGAAACACTGCGGGGGCTCCGCTCCCCCGAGGGGTGGGATCAGGGCCCCCCACGGTGCCCCTTTAAGGTGCTGTGTCTCGTGCCTTCCTCTCAGGTGCCACCAAGATCATTCCAGTGGAGGCCGGGCCCCCTGAGACGGGCGCTGCAAACCCGGAGGCCACCCCGGCCGACCCGGCGCCTCGCAGAGGGTACCAGGAGTACGCCATTCAGCAGACGCCGTATGAACAGCCCATGAAATCCAGCAGGTAAAGTGTGCGTCCTGTGAGACTTCAGCCAGAGCGGGACCCCCGTGATGGCGGCGGGGGCCCGAGGGCCAGCACGTTAGCGTTCCGGGACTGCGTTTGCACACTGGGTTGTGGAGGACATTGATTTCTGGATCGCACCCAGGAGTTGGACTGTCCATTATTGTGCCTGTGTGTTGGCTGAGCCCGGGTCGCTTCAGTGAAATGCGTGGCAGATCCACAGGGTTTTGGAACTGAGCACCAGTTGGCTTAATGAAGGGGGAGCATTTTACTTAAGTCAGACGTATGTTTCACCTTAATAAAAAGAGGTGTAAATAAGGCCTTACTTAGTACGTTTGCTGATTTTTATTTATCGAAAAATATTTTTTAAATTTTTACTTATTTTGAGAGAGAGAGAGAGAACATGTGCACACAAGTTGGGGGAGAGGCAGAGAAAGGAGAGAGAGAATCCCGAGCATTCTCTGTACTTGTGTGGGGCTGGAACTCACTAACGGTGAAATTATGACCTGAGCTGAAATCAAGAGTCAGATGCTTAATGGACTGAGCCATCCTGGTGCCCCCAAGTTTGCTGATTTTTAAGGTTGCACATATTGTAATGAAAAAAAATATCTCTGTTCCCTTCCCTCCCCGTTTTCAAAAGTAACACTTGTTGGGGCGCCTGGGTGACTCAGTTGGTTAAGTGTCTGACTTCAGCTCAGGTCATGATTTCCCAGTTTGTGAGTTCCAGCCCTGGGTCAGGCTCTGTGCTGACAGCTTGGAGCCTGGAGCCTGCTTCAGGTTCTGTGTCTCCCTCTCTCTCTGCCCCAACCCTGCTTGTGCTCAGTTTCTCTCTCTCTCAAAAATAAATAAATATTAAAAAAAAATTTTAATTAAAGTAGAAAGTTCCAGCACCCTGGATGATGTAAAGTAACCCATAGTTCTTCTTCTAGATACAACTACTGTTGCCACTATAAGTGTTTCACAATAGTCTAAAACAGAGTGCTTTAATTATGTTATTTTTTCTAATACAGAAACACAAGTGCATTGTTATCAACTTTTTTTTAAGACTTTCCACATCTTAGGGGCGCCTGGGTGGCTCAGTCAGTTAAGCGTCTCACTTCAGCTCAGGTCATGATCTCATGGTTCATGAGTTTGACACCTACATTGCGCTCTGTGCTGACAGCTCAGAGTACAGAGCTGCTTCGGATTCTGTGTCTCCCTGTCTCTATGCCCTTCCTCCACTCACACTCTGTCTTTCTCTCTCTTTCAAAAATAAACATTTAAAAAAAAATTATCACACTTTATTTTTTTTTGTTTTTAATTTTTTTTTTTTTTACAAATAGTTTATTGTCAAGTTGGTTTCCATATAACACCCAGTGCTCATCCCCACAAGTGCCCTCCTCCATGTCCATCACCCCCCTTCCCCCCATACCCATCAGCCCTCAGTTTGTTCTCAGCATTCAAGAGTCTCTCGTGGTTTGCCTCTCTCCCTCTCCCCCACCATTTCCCCCCTTCTTCTCCCCCATGGTTCTCCATTAAGTTCCTCCTAATCCTCCTATATGTGCAAACATATGGTATCTGTCCTTCTCTGCCTGACTTATTCGCTCAGCATAACACCCTCAAGGCCCATCCATGTTGCTACATGGCCAGATTTCATTGTTTCTCATTGCCATGTAGTATTCCATGGTATAGATAAACCACATCTTCTTGATCCATTTGTCCGTTGATGGACACTTAGGCTCTTTCCATGTTTTGGCTATTGATGAGAGTGCTGCTGTGAACATTGGGGTACACGTGCCCCTATGCATCAGCACTCCTGTGTTCCTTGGGTAAATTCCTAGCAGTGCTATTGCTGGGTCATAGGGGAGTTCTATTGTTAATTTTTTGAGGAACCTCCACACTGTTTTCCAGGGGGGCTGCATCAGTTTACATTCCCACCAACAGTGTAGGAGGGTGCCCATTTCTCCACATCCTCGCCAGCATCTAGAGTTCTCCGATTTGCTCATTTTAGCCACTCTGACTGGCGTGAGATGGTATCTCAGTGTGGTTTTGATTTGTATTTCCCTGATGTGGAGGGATGCTGAGCATCATTTCATGTGTCTGTTGGCCATCTGGATGTCCTCTTTGGAGAAGTGTCTGTTCATATCTTCTGCCCATTTCTTTACTGGGTTGTTTGTTTTTCGGGTGTGGAGTTTGGTGAGTTCCTTATAGATTCTGGATATTAACCTTTTATCTGATATTTCATTTGCAACTATCTTTTCCCATTCCGTTGGTTGCCTATTAGTTTTATGGATTGTTTCCTTTGCCGTGCAGAAGCTTTTAATCTTCATGAGGTCCCAATAGTTTATTTTTGCTCTTGATTCCCTTGCTTTTGGGGATATGTCAAGTAAGAAGTTGCTGTGGACTTTATCACCCTTTAAAAATCTTTTTTGGTACATATTTTGAAAAAGCGTTTGCTGTTGAATAGGGTGTACTGTAGTTTATGAAGCGGGTTTTGCTTGATGCGCAGTGTTGTGTTCAAGGTGCTGGTACCTTCGTCTTTCAGTTCTTCTTCACAACTTCTTGTGGGGTAAATTGCTAGCATTGAAATTTTTGTGTCAAAGAGTAGGAGAACTCTTTTAATTTAACCAGCATTGAAAGCTGCCCTCCAGATACCTTGGGTCAGTTGACAACCCTTAGCGAATGAGCAGGTGTGTTCTCCACACCCTCTCCAGGGTCTCAGTTTCACTTGTGACAGGTACCTTCTCAGGGGGATTAGCAAACTGCACCTGAGCTCTGAAAACATTTTCCCAGCTGAGAGCAAAGACAAAGAAAATGCCAGTTGCCAGTGGGTTTCCTTTGTTTCTAGAAGAGAAGAAATGAGGTGTTCTTGAAGAGAGCATCGCTTTTAGTGCGCAACAGATCTGGGCTGGCTCTAGACTCTTCTACCATGGTTCAGCTCAACAAATGAAACACCCGATATGTGCCAGGCACTGGGGATGAGAGAGAACAGGACAGACGTGCTCTTGTCTGGAGGAAGCCTTTACTCTGTTGTATTCGACTGAAGTGGATGTGCCTCTTAGCCTCTGTTGTACCAGCCGTAAGATTGTCTAGTACAACGTGACTTAGGTTAGTGGTGATAGTCAGTGATAAACCACACAAACACGGTGCCACGTGGGAAATGCTTCGTTGATTCGTAGCCTCTATCCTCTGTTGCTTGCGGCTGTGGGCAACTGAATTTATTGATGAAGTTGTAAAAGTACTCATTCCTTTGGCAAAACTGTCATGGAATTAAATTTGAAGACCATTCGGATGTCAACATAAGTTGATTTATAGACCTTAGCTAATTATCTTCATGCTATTTCAAGGTCTGCTGGGGAGGATTTTAGCTAACCAGTCATCTAGTTAACAGGCAAATCTATACAATATCTAATCAACAGGTTTTGGCTGTATTCCAGCTGTCGTGCATTCTATTAATATGGTACAAATTACAAAATAGTTATGAAAGAGGCTTTTTTTTTTTCTTTTTGCATGATGATGTTGCTTTGTAAAATATAGCCACAAGCCTCTAGGGTACACCAACAGATCAGTTAGGCTCTCACACAAATGTGACACAGATCGATTTTATAGAAAATTCTGGAAGTCTAGAAAACTGTAAGGAAAAGCATTATTTGTAATCTCACTACTGTAATATAACCACTGTTTATATATATATATTTTTTTTTCTTTTAATGTTTATTTTTGAGAGAGGAAGAGAGAGAGACAGAGTGGGAGCAGGGGAGGGACAGATAGAGAAGGAGACACAGAATCTGAAGCAGCTCCAGCTCATGAACCATGAGATCATGGCCTGGACTGAAGTCGGCAGCGTAACCAGCTGAGCCGCCCAGGTGCCCCACCACTGTTAATATTTTTAATGTGTTTCCTTCTAGCCTTTTTTCCAGCCCATATATTTTGTCACACTGAGTTTATATTTCATATGCAATTTTGTATCTTGCTTTCAAGACCTACACACATCGTGCTTATTACTTTGCTCTGTTACTCACATTATTCACAAATTATTTTCTGGTGATGGTGCTGTAACATGAGGATTTCTGTAATCTTAGCTTTTCACATCAAAGTGAATGAGACCTGGTAAAATGCCCCCTCTGATTGCACCCTGAACGGCTTCACAGCTGGTAGGAGTACTTGGCTACAGGGCCCTCCGTTCATGGCTGTCCCTTCTCCAGCTTTGTCCCCGTGTGAGCTCCCTGGGGTCTCGGGCCCCAGCAGGTGTTCCAGCCACCCAGGCCGTCTGTACGTCCTCTGTCTCTTCGCACAGGTGCGTCTTCCTCATTTCGGATGCCTCCCCTTTCCCTGGCTTGTGTATCCTGTTCACCTTCAGCTCTTTGCTCAAGTGTCCAGTGCTCAGGACAGCCTGCCCGGAGTCTGCCCTGATCTGGACTCATGGGACACCCGGCCCTTTTCTGTCATAGCAGGGAGCTTGTCGACCTTACCTGCTCCTTTTCATGGTTCTGAGTCTGGCCCGTCACCTCCTCCAGAAAGCGAGCTCCAGGAGAGCATGAGCTGTGTTTGCTTTTGTCCCTCTTGTGTCCTCAGTGCCTGGAATACTTATTTTGAATGAGCGAGTGAATGAATGAATGAATGAATGAATGAGTGAATGAGTGAAAAAAACAGATGTGCAAACAAACTCGTCCCTTATGTGGGGACCTTCAAGCAGCTTTTCACTGTGAGCACCTTTGTTCGAGCACCTTTGTATTCTTTCCTGTAGTTGACTCCCAGAAGTGAGTAACTTTCTAAAATGCAGTGGTGAGAGCGCCTCTCTCCCTGCACGGGGAACATTTGGAGTGAAATAATTTTATAACAGTCATATCATGGCTCTGTGTGTCAGTTCACAAGGCTGAGAGTGGGCAAGGCTTATGGTTTGGAGTCTGACGTAGGCTGCTTAGCATCTTCAGCAGATTCATCACCCTTGGCAGGAAACAGGGCACAGAGGGATTTGTCAGGTATCTCTGTAATAAAACAATAAAAAGTCAGAGCAAAAGATCCTCCTAAGACCATTTAGATCTTCCATTAGAGGAGAAACAAACTGATTTGTTTATTTAATTAACATTTTGAATCTCGGGTTTCTTTCTCCAGTGTTCTTTATACCAATAAAATCTATCACCTTCTGGGTTTCTTTGTCATTAGAGAAAGATCCAAATTAGTTTCCTGAAATTAGCCTTGGCTTTTAGCATGCAGGCAGAGTGCTCACTTTCAAATTTGAATATTTTAATTACATTATATGAATTGTACCCTCTGGTGTTTATGAACTACAATCGACTTAAATATTTTTAATTTAAAGACAAGGCATCCTATGTTGATCAAACATAGTTGAATGGGTAGTTCCGTAAATACAGACTTTGCAGTTACAGTGGGCACAGCTTAATGGTCTCTGGTCAACAGCATTGAAGGATTATCGGTGTTCCTCGGGGACCTTCCCGGACAGCTTGGATGTTCTGTCCAGAGGGAGTAGTTTCAGAGGAGAGGAAGCCTCACCTGCCAGTCTGACTCATCTGACAATTCCTGTCCCTGGTGCATGCAGAGTACTTTGGTGGCCATCATTCACTGATTGCAGAAACAATAGCCCTGGAAGTCTCATACAGGGGGCTTTCTCTGTGTGTACAGTTACACTGGGGAGGTGGTGTTTGCTGACATTATAGAGGATGAGGGGGAACATGCAGGCTCTAGATGCAGACAGTCTGCTTCGGGTTAAATCCTGGTTTCACCACTTACTAGATGTATGATCTTGGGCACAGACTCAGTTTTGCCATCTGTAAAATGGGTGTAAGAGTAGGGCCGGGAATAAATATATTCAGTGTGGGGTTTGGCAGTTCACACGTCCCTAGTGATTTCTGACTGTTACTACCATCTCATACACGTGGCCGTATTGAAAGAGAGCACCCATGAGGCAAACCATGCTTTTATTCCCCATCTCATACACAAAGTCTGACCCAGTGCCTGAAATATACTGGCAGGAATTCATGCATGGTGATCATTAACAGGTGATTCATGGGCGCCTGGGTGGCTCAGTTGGTTAAGCATCCGACTTTGGCTCAGGTCATGATCTCACGGTTTGTGGGTTTGAGCCCCACCTCGGGCTCTGGGCTTACAGCCAGCACAGAGCCTGGAGCCTATTTCAGATTCTGTGTCTCCCTCTTTCTCTGACCCTCCCCTGCTCATGCTGTCTCTCTCTCTCTCTGTCTCTCTCTCTCTCAGAAATAAATAAAACATTAAAAAAAATTTAAAAACCCAAAAAACAAAACCCCAACTGATTCATGAGGTTAATAAAGGGCAGTTGAACAGCAGCCATCTTTTCCCTGTCTGGGCTCTGTGTTAGCAGCGTGGTAAAGGACGGGGGCGATGGAGACTAGAACATCAGCTCTTTTACTGACGGAGCTGCGGGGAACATGGCGTGACACACATCAACGCGGGGCTTCCCGTTCCTGGGTACCTGGCTCCTCACCTGCCTACAGTCCGTGACCACCACTGGCCAGGCCCACGCATGCCCACCTAGCTAAGCACTCAGGGTACCGCCCACTGTTCATGGGCAGACCTGTCCTCGCCAGAAGGGGAAAGATGGAGCTCAGCTCACGAAGGCCGGGGGACCAGTTACTTGCCCTGGGAGGACGTAGGGATGTGGGTCTTTCACTGGTGGGTGGCAACAAAGAGACAAGCTGGTGGAATGAACGAGCAGGTCTGGCTCTCTGAAGCTGTTAGACAAACCCAGGTGGATTGTATCTGGTCTCACAGAGTCGATGGAGCTCATTCCGTCATGACCCGTCATGTAGCCACAATACGTACGGGTCAGCTTTGGAGCACGGCTGGGGGTTTTGTATGTTGTGAGTGACACATCCCTCTTCCCTCTTTCTGCTCTTTTCTCCCTCTTCTCGTTCTACAAGCCTTAACTCAGACATCTCCTGTTCAGCAAGTTTCCCAACTACCTTCATCCACGTTAGATGTCTCTTTCTCTTCCTCCTCCCATCCCCCCACCCTGCACATGTTCCCATCCACACTTGCCACATCGTGATGCAAGCACGTGCTGTCTTGTCTTCCCTCCCCCAGCCTGTGAGCTCCTGAGGAACAGGGACGCACTCCTCAGTCTCTCTAGGGGCCTGGCCCGCACTTGGCTCTCCAGTCCTGCTTGTTGACGAATGAATGCCTCCGACCAGCCTCACTGCCGTTTAGTTCACTTTGAGCCTTTGGCATTCAGTTCCTGAGAAGGAGTTCAAGGCCCTGAGGGAGGTGCCGCGCCTCCCAGTGTAACGGTGCTGTCTTCTGTTTCTAGGCTCGGGCCCACCCAGCTCAAGATCTTCACCTGCGAGTACTGCAACAAGGTGTTCAAGTTCAAGCACTCGCTGCAGGCGCACCTGAGGATCCACACCAACGAGAAGCCATACAAGTGCCCCCAGTGCAGCTATGCCAGCGCCATCAAGGCCAACCTGAACGTGCACCTGCGCAAGCACACGGGCGAGAAGTTCGCCTGCGACTACTGCGCCTTCACCTGCCTGAGCAAAGGGCACCTGAAGGTGCACGTGGAGCGCGTGCACAAGAAGGTCAAGCAGCACTGCCGCTTCTGCAAGAAGAAGTACTCGGACGTCAAGAACCTCATCAAGCACGTCCGGCTGGCGCACGACCCGCAGGACAGGAAGGTGCAGGAGGCCCTGGATGAGCTCTGCCTGCTCACCAGGGAGGGCAAGCGGCAGCTGCTCTACGACTGCCACATCTGCGAGCGCAAGTTCAAGAACGAGCTGGACCGCGACCGCCACATGCTGGTGCACGGGGACAAGTGGCCCTTCGCCTGCGAGCTGTGCGGCCACGGGGCTACCAAGTACCAGGCGCTGGAGCTTCACGTGCGGAAGCACCCGTTCGTGTACGTGTGCGCCGTCTGCCTCAAGAAGTTCGTCAGCTCCATCAGGCTGCGTGCGCACATCCGGGAGGCGCACGGGGCGGCGCAGGAGGCTGGGCTCTTCGCCAGCTCCATCAACCAGAGCTTCTGCCTCCTGGAGCCTGGCGGGGACATCCAGCAGGAAGCCCTGGGGGGGCAGCTGCAGCTGGCAGAGGAGGACTTCGCGTTCCAGGGCATGAACGCGCCCAGGGGTGCCACCTGCCCTGCGGACGCTGGGCCTCCAGAGGAGGCCGGGAAGGAGCCTGAGGCCACTGTGCCCAGGTCCGCCCTGCCCGAGCGCTCTGCCACCCCCCAGGGTGACAGCGCCACCCTGCCCCCCTGTGTGCCGGAAGCTGCCACCCACGCCTCTGGCCTCCCTTCGCAGGCCGAGGTCTCTGAGGAGTTTTTACTGACAGGCGATCCCTCCCCTGCTGAGGTGCGCACCGCTCCCAAGGAGACGTTGGACGCCCAGCGCAGAGCCTCCTTCCAGACTCAGGGCGAAGAAGCCCCTTCCCTGCCGTCCAAGGCCAGAGGTGCCGAAGTGAACCGGGACGCGCAGGGGGCCGAGAGCCCCCCGGAGGCAGGGCAGAGAGTGGCTGCCCTCCCTACTGACGGACCAGATCCTAGTAGGTGTCTCAGGTCAAACCCAGGGGAGGCCTCCGACCTTCCTCCGGTAGCAGGTGGAGGGGCCGTGGCCCTGCCCCAGCCTGACTCCTGCCCGCCGGCCTCCGAACGCATCAGTGCATTCATGAAGATCCTGGATGGTTTACAGAAGAGAAGGATGAACACCGGTTTGTGCGAGAGGATCCGGAAGGTGTACGGGGACCTGGAGTGCGAGTACTGTGGTAAGGAGGGCGGCGCTGGGCCAGCAGCCGGCGGGGCCCTCGTTCCTTGCTTCCCCAGCCTGCTTTGGGTCACCTCGTGTTTGGTTTGAGCTCATGTCTCTTTGCAAAGAACCACCTGTAAACGAGCCGCCTTTCATCATGTGTAGACAGTAGTTGGCAGCTGCCTGTGTTCCGGTTTGGCACGTGGAGTGTTTGTGGAGGCGGCCAGGTTAGGGGGACAGGTAGCCTGCTAGCCGGGTCAGGCACTTGTGGAGGCGGCCAGGAGGGCGGGACAGGTAGCTGTGCTGGCCAGGGCGGGCACACGCAGTGGCCTATCTCACAGCTGCTGCCAGAACTTGAACCAGGAAGAATTCTTCTTCTGGCACATGGCAAGTTCAAAGTGTAGCTTGAGTTGTGGCTCTGCTCTCCCTGCAGCTCTTTGCAGGGAGCCCCAAGTAGAGCCCTTCTAGCTCACGGTGCTGCACGGCCCCTGAAGCTCCGGAGAGCTGGCAGCGTGGGTGCTGGGGGAGCCCAGCCCGAGCTCAGGGTCAGCAGGGGTTTGAGACCCTGATCTAGGCAGGTGCACAGAAGCACCTGGGCTGTAACTGGTCCTTGGGAAACATTTGTTTCCTCTTGTCCTAGCTCTGACATCATGCAAATATAGTAGCACCCAATTATAGTAGCACCCTTAACGTTTACAGCCTCCCACCTTTAAAAAGTGATTTCCAGGGGCGCCTGGGTGGCTTAGTCGGTTGAGCTTCCGACTTTGGCTCAGGTAATGATCTTGCAGTTCATGGGTTTGAGCCCCACATCAGGCTCAGAGCCTGGAGCCTATTTCAGATTCTGTGTCTCCCTCTCTCCCTGCTCCTCCTCTACTCACGCTCATCTCTCTTTGTCTCTCTGTCAAAAATAAATATGCATTAAAAAAAATATTTAAAAAGCGATTTCCAGACAGAAGTGAGGAAAGTGTGACGGGTGACCTGGACAAGCTCGAGAGGGAGATAAAAATAGTAGTAAAAAAATAACAACAAGAAAATGAAATTCAGTGTGAAGCAAACGCCCTTGTTCTCATGTGACGATTTTTTTCAGGCAAACTCTTTTGGTACCAAGTGCACTTCGACATGCACGTGCGCACCCACACCCGGGAGCACCTCTATCACTGCTCCCAGTGCCATTACTCCTCCATCACCAAAAACTGCCTTAAACGCCACGTGATTCAGAAACACAGTAACATCTTGCTGAAGTGCCCCACTGACGGCTGCGACTACTCGACTCCGGATAAATACAAGCTGCAGGCGCATCTTAAAGTTCACACGGAGTTGGTAAGTAGCAAGCCTGGGCGGCAGCACCGTGTGCCCCGCGTGCCCCCTGCTTTCTAACCTTTGCGCGCATGGAAAGGTGCCCTGCTTCCCATGAGCCAGCGTCCGTGAGTGTCAGGCTCTTCGCTTCACCCCGGGACGCCCTTCACAGGGAGAGTCTCGGATACGTTGCAAAATGACGAGTTGGAACAGATTTGCCTTCTGGGCCCATCGTTCAGCGTCAGGGAAGATCTCCAGGAGGAGGATCCACAGAGTGGAAATACAGCAAGGATTTCGTAAACGACATTATAAAGGATCCTTAGTGACAGAGGTGGCAGTTGAGAGGTTAAATTCCATAGCGCCCATGAGGCAGTGGGCAGTGTCTAGTTCACTGGGAGAGCGCAGGAAACGTTGAGGACCACGGTGTCCACTTGGGTCATTCGTGGACTCTCTGTGAGGGATTATCTGCGAAGCACTCTGATTTAAAAAAAGACGGGATCATTTAAGCCAAGATACTGTTAATATTCATAACAGTGAAGTTTGCTTAATTCTTTGTTGGAAGGTGATGTAAGGCAATGAATGACTCTAGTTTTGCAGATTCTCATGTAACACAGGGGGCTGACCCCCGAGTGGAGGGAGCCTTCTTCAAGAGATAAAGGGGGCTCAGCTGGCCCCAGGTGTGGTTCCGCCGTGTTGGCATTCCTTTTTATACCACAGACGGCACTGAAGGAGGTGTCCTAAGCTGGGCCTGCTCCCACTGTGCTCTGGCATAAAGATCCACCACGCTGTAGGGCTGGTGACTGGGGTGAAGTCAGGGTGCTGTAGGTATCGTGGGAGATGGGTCAGGGCACATGCTTTGGGGTTAGATGCCTGGGTTCAGATATCGTCTCCAGCACTTGCACGGGCATAGGTATTGGAGCAAGTCACTTGTCCTTTCTGAGATTTGGTTAGCTTTCAGTATAAAATACATATTAAAAATTATATACCCATTAAAATTTTTTTTTAATATTCATTTATTTTTGAGAGACAGAGTGTGAGCAGGGGAGGATCAGAGAAAGAGAGAGGGAGACACTGAATCTGAAGCAGGCTCCAGGCTCTAAGCTGTCAGCACAGAGCCCAACACGGGGCCGGAACTCATGGACAGCAAGATCATGACCTGAGCTGAAGTCGGATGCTTAACTGACTGAGCCACCCAGGCACCCCAGTATATATCCATTCTACACACACATATGTACACACACACATATACACATAATATGCACAGACTACATGCATGTATTATATATGCCTGCAAATGCAGTGCACATGTATACACACATGGTTGTATATGTATATAGATCTCCTAGGGTTACTGGTAGGGTAAAATGGAATGTTCTACAGCAAGAACCTGACTCAGGGACTATGCTGTTGACTGTGTGCTTGCTACCACACATCACCTGGTACCTCTTAGCACATGTTCTCTGTCTCTCTTTCTGAGTAGGGCATGAAGGCTCACACATCCTGTTTCCTTCCAGAATGGCTGTTAGATTGGAACTGATTCCAGTACCGTCTTAGGGCAGAGAAAACCGGGGTGCAGAAATCATGGCTACGACATTGCTAGAAGCGCGCCTGAGGCCAAGAGCTGAGTGAGGGTAGCATGAGGGCAGCGTGGGGGCAGCCTTAGAGGGTGGCAGTTAAGACCAGGGACCAGGCCGCGGGTTTTAGACTCTGGCTCCCCCATTTACCATGCATCTTTAAGATGTGTCCTGTAACTGCCCCTTGCCTCAGTTTACCCATCCATAAATGTCTAAGAACAATGCCTGACGTGGAGTAAGCACCATACGTCATTGACTGTTACAACTACTGTTATTCATTGTACTTGGCGTCTTTGGGCTTGGTGCTCTGTGTCGGGAGACTGTCCAGGAGGTTCCAGGCTGACGCTGCAGAGGAGGCTGTGCAGGAGCTCGGCGGTGTGTGTGGCTGCCTGTTTTGCCCCGTGCCCATTTTCCTTGCCCGTCGTGAGTGTCAGAGGGACTCAGGTGCAGCCCAGGCAGTTCCTTGCCTCTGGATGCTGGTACTCAGCCCTCTGGCCACATCCTTGGTCCTCAGGGTCAGCAGGGCCACGTCTGGGGACGTGTGCTAAGATCTGAAGCCCTGATTTCATATGCTTTCGTATATCTTAATAATCCAACACTTAGTGGGGCTTCTCTTCTCGACTTCCTGTGGTCATGGATCTTCCTTCAGGAAGGGTCTCCCTGAGTTGGGAGAGTAGTGTTGTATGACCTCGCCTTGGCCTGGGGCTTGGTTCCCTTGCCTGTGTCCCAAGGAGATGGGCCACGTGTGTTAAGAGCCGGTTGGGCTTTCTCGTTTGACCCAACACTTAGGTGTTTTCAACACAGATGCCCATGCAGTGCACAACTAAGGAACTTTCAGATTGAACCCCTGCCCCACCCCAAGTGGGCCTCCATCCAGGTCCATTCCGGTTGCAATAGGAGCCTCGGAAAATTTGGCTGAGTTCCTATTTCTGTGACTCTCAACCATTTCTCAGCTACTGATGCACCCAGTGATCAGAAGGCATGAATACATTTAATATAGTCTCTCCCTACAGACCCTCCTTCTCTTGAGCAAGCAGATGGAGTGACTTAGCGTCCAGGATGTATTGGCATCAAGGAAATGTGGCGAGCCAGTCAGGAAGAAGCAGTTAGTGATGTTGCTGGAGCAGGCCCGCTTCTTAGAGCACCAGGGAGGCCTAGGAGAACGCAGCGGTCATGAAGCGCCAGTGGCTTCGGGTTCTGACGCGCTGTGGTCCAGGTCTCCTGTCCACCCCCATGATCTTGGCCGTTTGCCGAGCTCTGCTTTCTCAGTCGTAACATGAACATTAGGTACTGTCTCCTGCCCCTCGGGGCTGTGGTGCGTGAATCAGAAAATATATGTAGGGGTGCCGGGTGGCTCAGTCGGTTAAAGCTGCTGATTCTTGATTTCAGCTTAGGTCCTGATCTTGCGGTTCATGAGTTCAAGCCCCACAACGGTCTCTGCGCTATGACAGTGTAGAGCCTGCTTGGGTTCCTCTCTCTCTCTCCCCCCCTCCCTCCCTCTCTCTCTCTCTCTCCCCCCCTCCCTCCCTCTCTCTCTTCCCCCCCTCCCCCTCCCCCCCTCTTTCCCTCTCTCTCTCTGCCCATCCCATGGTTCTCTCTCTCAAAAAAATAAACTTAAAAAAAATATATATGTAGAACACTCAGGTCAGTTTTTTCAGTCCCTAGGTCATCGTCCATTGGATGGTTGTGAAATCAGTGGATTTCAACTAGTAAGTTGATCCCAACTAGTGAGTATATCTTAAAAATGGAGTACCATAGAATCAAATAGAAATTACCGGTATTAGTCACCCTTACGCAGGGTTAAGGTTTGTTTTCTGAGGCCTTTGTTTCCGTGTGTCAGTATGTTTACATGTGAGCGTGTGTGACATCGTCAGATGGTGATGTCACATGGGTGACCTCCTGTGGGTCCCACTAAAGAAGTTTATAAGTGACTGGCCCAGCTGATGTAGTTCATGTCGTCCTGAATCAGAAACACATGGGGTGAGAGGTTACTGAGCTCATGCCCCCAGTGTCGTTTGAGGGTAATCTGGAATCTGCGCCTTAAGTCCCTCCCGGTGGACACATTTGAAATGGCAGGAAACGGAGCAGATGGTGGATGCCCAGGGTAAGGCAGTCTGCTCCCTTTGTCTTCCAGCTTGGGTCCTCTCCAAGAAGACCTCACAGGTACCAGCCGATCTGAGGGCGCCGTCGCGGCCCTGAGCCTGCACTCGGGAACGGGCGCGTTTTGGTGTTAGGTGCCGACTCCGCCACTCACAGGGTGTGGCTTCCCTTCGGAACTTCTCTGAACTTCGCTTCTGTGATGTGCCTCCAGGCTTGCCCTGGGGCCTCGGGGACAACGGTTGTGAGGGACGCGGCACAGGTCCAGGCGTCCAGGGGAGCTGCGGGTCTGAGCTAGCTCGTCCTCAGTAGCAGGTGGTATTGGGCGGTGGAGGACGCCGCCATCCGTCCGTCTGTCCATCCAGAGCATGATGGTTTCTCTGCACCTGTTCCAGATTAGCGTTTGCCCCGTCTTTGAAAAGTGCTTGGTCCGTTCTTGGCCATGAGGGTCCGCATATTTAAAACATCTTACTTGTACTTGCTGCAGGTAAAGTAAAAGAATATATTGCCAACGAAACACAGAGCAAGTAGGGGAAGCCATCCCTGTATCTTTCTGGAAATAAATGGATTTGTCTTTTTTTTTTTTCAGTGGAGGACAATATTATTGAACTAAAGTGATGGGGTATGAGATTTTTCGTTTTCCAGGGGCCGGGAGCGGATGGGCTTTTCCTCTGTGGTCACAGACTGTTTGTTGCTACGTCGCCGTGTTTGGGCGTTTGTCCGCAGCGCTGAGGACGCGGGGCTCCCCGAGCTTCCCGTGTGGAACACGCAGCTCCCGGGAGCAAGGCCGATGTGCAGAGCGGAGGGCCTGGCCTGGCACAGCTGAGCTGCTCTGCGTGGCTGGGACGATCCTGGAGCCGAGCTCCTGAATGGTGCACGTTTGCGGCTTTTATCGAGCTTGTTCAGACCGGTCCCCGCTTGAGCGGCACCTCTTCTGCCTCCGTCATATGTTCGGCCTCCACGTGTGGTTAGCTCTCAGTGGCTCACGGGCCCCTGAGCAGGGCCGGTGTCTCACACCCCTGTCCTCGGCGCAACGCCTGGCGTGTGTCAGGGGCCCCTGGAAGGTCTGAGGAATGAACGAGTGAGTCCGTGGAGTTATGGCCTTTCATTCCTCAGAAATTGTTCAGAGTGCAGTCTCCCACCTTATTTTTTAAATTTATTTTATTTTTTATTTTTTTTTAAAGTTTATTTATTTGTTTTGAGAGAGAGAGAGAGAAAGAATCCCAAGCAGGCTCTGTACCATTAGCACAGAGCCCAGTGCAGGGCTCGAACCCACAAACCATGAGACCATGACCTGAGCCGAAATCAAGTTGGGCACTTAACCAACGGAACCACTGGGGTGTCCCCAACATC